GCTACCTTGTTTTTTCTTTCTAGAGAAAGATTGGAAAGGGGAATTGTGAGCAAAACTTCACCATTTTCTCCTTTCTATAGAGGTGAAATTTTATGACCTAGTGTCCCATCTCGTTTTCCAAACAAAAAAAAAATATATTTTTTGACAACTTTTTCAAAGGCCCAAACCATGTTTTTAGGGGACCGATGCAAACATATTACAACAAACCCGAACCGTTTTTACCATAACTTAGCCAAACAGAACGGCAAAAATGGGTCATATCTGCAGTGGTTCGGGGACATTCTAGACACGGCTAACGGCTATCTCTTAACAATGCGGGATCCGCTATTAGTGATCAAAGGATTTTTAAAACGTTCGGTCGCCAATTTTAACATCGATCGTTTATACTTCGGCACCACCATTACTGATACTGCCAAACTGGGGGCTAACTGTAGGGGTAAATCAGTGTCTAAAAATTGGCAAAGTATAGGAAAATGTTAATAGATTTCCCGCAGAAAATTCGTAACAGTTTTCCGTGAAAATTCTTAACAGGAAACCCATAAAAAACCTCATCTTCTGGTTTAACCCGACCCGCTGCTAAACCATAAACTTAACCCCCGAGATGGTGACAACAAGCAGTGGACCAAGCTGTGGAAATGGGCCGCAACATCCAGAAGTGGGCCGAGCCGTGAAGAGAAGCCCGCAGCATGTAGCCGACTCCGCGGAAAGAGAATTCCACAGAATCAGGAAGGCATCTTTATCCCTCGACAGAAGCTCTAGCCGCGGAGTAACGCTATATATATGTTTGTTAGCCCTCATTGAAAGATATCCGGAGTTTTTCACATAAACACTTGTAACATTTATTCGCAGAAACATCAATAAAGAAAACTTAACTTGTTTTTTTTTGCATTCCGTGATTCGTAACATAGAAATCTCTGTTCCTCAACTCTAAGACAAATTATATTGTTCGAATTTCGACTCCCACAGTCCTACAGCTCGTCGGAATATTGCAAAACTTGTTGCCAAGCCGCTTGGGGATCAGGTGCATGTGGAAAATGCGAACTTGAGGGCAGTGAATAGCATTGTCACTGCTACACCTAATTTCCATAGACGAAATTACCAACAACAAATGCTGAACAAGACAAAATTTTACGTACCGCTTTCTGCTTCATTTATTTTATGTATTTTCGTGTGTATTCTCTTTTCAATAAAACATTAATGTGTGTGTATCAGTTAACACATTAGTTGATTACTAGTCAGTTTAAGATGTAATATTACCTAAGGTGTGTGTTTCTGAATGCTTTCCCCATAATAATAATGAAAATTCTCGGTGTCTTACTGTTTCTTGTCTTTGTA